AACAGAATTACAGAGAAGAATAAAGGAACAAATTACAATGATATTTACGAGATTTATCAAAACTGCAGGGTTATATCTATAACCTTTCTGATGGTTTTCATTATACTTCCTAGCTTATCATAAATTGAACTTTTCTTAGTGTATAAAAAGATCTGTCTAATGAGCGCTCAATAGGGATTGGTCCAGAAGGGTCTAAGTTGTTTGTGTTCGGAAAAGTGAAATTCAATCTGCAGAATGTCTTATATGCAAAAGGGACGAGAAATCTCACTGTGTGCATTTAAATGGTAAAATTCAGTGTAATGCAATTACTTTTCTGGTCTTAAAGCGGGTTTTCTCCCTCCATCCTGCAAATGGCCTAGTTTGGCGTCCTCTACTCCCAGTAATATAGGAGTATATCAATATTGTTGCAGTTTGTAGAAACAAAATATGAACTGATCCATGCCACTGGGCACCGGTTATATACACAGAAACACATATAATTAAGCTATTTTAATTTGGGACGCAAGAATTCCCAGATGAAATCAAAGAAGCACAATGTAAAGTTACGATGTCTTTGACTGAGAGTTGGGCAACATCAGGTTTCTCATTTAGGTAGTATGGTACAATTGGAATTGTAATATAAAGTTCAATATGGGCATAATTTAACATGCCACTGCATAGAAAATGAAACTTCATTCCATCAATAACAGTCCCATTGAGCAATCCAAAGTGAAGAACAAATGGTTGCACTTATGTAAAGAAAAAAGTCTCAAGCTATTTCAAAAGGTCAGTTTTCTCCACCTCTCTGTGTTTGAGTTGTAGCGTAAAGAGTTTGTTGTATGGTACGCACAAAGGAAGCTGATCATTATAATTGAAAGCAAATTAAAGCACTATTAACGAGTAGTTAAATTTGTATAGAGTAAAGTTAGGCATGACCAGTGTTAGCTGAATCCTATGGGAAAGCACTATTATATGACTAACAAAAACAGAGATTGTTATCCACTACTGCCTTATTTCAAAAACTTCTAAGTTCTTGATCTACATTAAACATTAATACAACCAAAAAAACTTCATCATTAGTAAGAATGAAGCTAATTCATTAAAAGAAACAACAAACAAACACTAAGATGCATTTGAAGAAAGAAACCAGCTGATATATGGGCATGTTGTGTTCCATACTTTTATTGACAATTTACCCATCTAACCAACAAGTAAAATTCCTCATCGGCCCACTGGTGAAGGTGTGTATAAGGGACGAAGATGCACTGTTCCTAAGGGCACTCTCTGTCCCTTTAAAGATGTTAGGATAGAATTATATATGACTTGATGATTCAAGTACAAAATACTGACCTGACATAATCCTTCTTTGCAGAGGAGAAAAAGAGATTTGTGAAGCCTTCAATAGCTTCCATACTGGTTGGATCTCCAATAGCAGTAAGTTCACAGGTAGCATGTTGATCAGCTAAATAACCCAGATAAGGTTTATCTGGAGTGAACTGACCTTTTTGCTCCTTGGGGAGATCATGGTACTCCTCTAGTGCAAGGTGAAAAGAATTCTTTATTTCTGAAGAGATCTTGTCATAAGTTGCCAGAAAAATTCCATGATTCTCAAGTGCATTCTTCACTTGTTTGCTTGTGGATATCCAAATATTGGTGCCAGGTCTCAAGTTCCCATTGCTAAAATCTATGAGAGGAAGATTTGATGGAGCTAATTGGGAATCCATAACTATTTTGTTGACCTCTGTATCTCAGTCGTAGCTGGCTTAAAGGGCTGAAGCATACCTTTAAAATGGGCAAATTACACTTTACCCCCTGTGATTTAGTGTTTTTTACATAACCCTCTATGGTTTCAAAAGCTGTACATATCCCTCTCATCATTGGTAACACAGTAACCTAAAATTTCAAAAATACCCTTATGCAAAGTTGAAAACTATTTATTAACTAAGGGAGGTTATGTATGTATTTTGAAAACCGTAAAGGGGTTATATAGTAAAGTATTAAACCATAAAGAGGTTATATGATAAAACATAAAATCATATGAGATTAGTGTGTCATGTATTTATAAGGGTAATTTCGACATTTTTAAAGGTTCCATAACGAATGATCATTTTCGTCATTTTGATACTTTAATTCAAATCATGATGGGATTATGTATAACTTTTGAAACCATAGGGAAGTTATGTAAAAAAATACTAAACCACAAGTGGGTAAAGTGTAATTTGCCCTTTTTAAAATATGGCTTTAACTTTTAGGGATAATTTCAGAAACCTATCCTGAAGTTTCCAATAATTTCACTTAGCTCTCCTGAGCTTTATATAATTATGAGGACCTCCCTTGGTGTGATAAAAGACAACAATGCCCTTCATTAATTGTCAACTTATTGAAAAACTTAATAAAAAAAATTAAAGCTCTTTCATCTATTATCAATCAATAATTCAAACTATAATCTTTCCGATTTAACTTTTTATCCTCTTCCTCCTACATCTGTTTTCCTTCCAAACACATTTATTTATTATTATTGATCAAATGTGTACTAATGCTAGTAACAAGGCCATCATACATTCCAACCACTAATGCTTAACTATTCTGATGTTTATTCCCAATTTTCTCTTTTTCATTACTATTAAATAGCTTCTTTGCACACATTTTTGTTTCCAATTTTTTATGGATATTAGCAAATTGAAATTGTCAAATGATAGTTGAGTGATGATTTCGTTATATAACTAGATGGAGATGAAGATAATGGCAGTATAAAAAATAAGGAATTAAGGATAAAAAGTGAAATAGGGACTAAATAAAGATTATACTATTATGGTTGTTATGAAAAAAAAAAGTGTTCCTTGTATATCTATAACTTCATTGTATTTCTATTTTTTATTTGCAATTATTAATGATGTTGTTCTTATAGAGAGAATTTGATTGATTTTGAACTCTATGCAGATGGAGTATATTGAATATTGATATTAGTAGTGATGGTTTAGACTATTTTATATTAGAAATGTGGCAGCTGTAGAATTGAAATTTAGATATATTGATGACTATTGCTTTGTATTAAGCAAAATTTGATATTGATATGAGATTGTAAGTAAGCTTTTAGGTATTTGATGTGGTATTTTGTAGTTGATAGGATTGTTTGCATTGGACATTTTTAGGTAAAATAAGGACGTTAGAACAAAGGTAAGTGTTTACTTAGTGATGATTTGGATATTAATAGGTAGGCAATGGTGATAGCAAGTAATGATGAATAAAATAGAGACGGTGAACCCTTTTTTCTTTTTTTTTATTGTGAATTATAACTCAAGGGCATTATAGGATTTTTAAGAAAAAGTCTAGCCTTTTGGACTTAAAATGTTGCTTAGACAATGAAAATAGAGGAGTTAAGTGTAATTTTCAAAACTTGAGGGGTGTTTTCTACAATTGTTAAAAATCTCAGGGCAGGTATGTGAAATTATCCCTAACTTTTAAGAACTAATTTTTGGAGAGTAAAGATAATTGGAATAGTTTTAGAAACTTCCCCTGAAGTATATGCTAATATTATTTGGCCCTCTTGAAGTTTCAAAATCATCATTTACCTCTCTATGTCAGGAGATGAGACCGCTAATCACTATTACAACATTGAAAAAAAATTACCTTCGCCATTATAACACTTCTTCAAGCAAACAAATATGGAAGAGAAAAATAAAAAATGCTAAAATAAAATGGCTATTTTAACAATTTTTTTGCACTTAAACCATCCCATTTATTTAACCTTTCTACACCAACCGCATATCAAATTATCCGTGCTATTCTAATAATTATTTAAGCAAATAAAATCTAGAAGAAAATTTTCAACTTGAACACAATTTTCTACTTGTATGACGTAAATAAGCTAAGTTTGAACTAGCTCGAGTTCAAAAAACTCAAATATGTTCGAATATATTATACAACTCTGAAATTTAAAAAAAAATGATCAATTTAATTTGCCTATTGAATGAAAAAATCTTCTTTGCAGATATAAGAAGATCCCCAATATTTAAACAAAATGAAATCCTACACAATAGAGATGTGATAAATTTACATAATTAATAAGAAAAATTAGTAATACTAGCTTGCATAAATGTATAAATGTAGATGAATTTAAACGAAGTAATTGCGAGTCGAGCCAAGCTCAACTCATTTAGGAAATGAGCCTAAATTGTTGTATCAAATTGTTGTGAGCCATATACCATAAATGATTATTTAAAATCAACTTTTCCCTTTTTTTTTCCTACATTTTCATGTCATGCTCTCCTACACCTAAATTGTTGTATCAAATTGTTATGAGCCTTCAAGCATACTTTGGGAGTAACAATAGTTTTAGCATTTGATATGGATCTTTTTAGAGTTTGGCCGACTTTGTCATAATTAAAACTCAAAATAATGGACGCAAGATAATAGCTTAAACTTCAGGCTGCAAAATGAAATTGTTAGAAACCCCAAGAGAGGTTTTTTTTTTTTGGGGGGTAAATTATCCATTTCGAAAATTACATTTAACTTCTTAAATTTTATATTATGTGACTTCTGTCTATAACCTTGCCATTACAACATATGCATGTCTGTCTATTCTATGCAAATATGAGCAAATTATATACCCATATATACACATACAGAAACGTGTAAGTAGATTATTTTCTCAGTTGCAGCAGGATTTGAGGCTACGAGGAACCTTAAGGTTCTTGAATATGCTCTTTGAGGTTATTGAAGTATTACTAAAGAAATTACTTGTTATACAACATCTGGCAAGTTTACATATCATGTTTAATTTTCCCGACGAAAAATGTTGATTTAGTTGTGATTAAATGCTGTTGGACTGACATCTTGAACTATGCGTGTCATGTCTCCCATCAAATTAAAACTACTCCTACAATTTTCCAAAAAGGAAAGGTAAAACTAAAGAAGATTAGGTACTAATAGATAAACTAATTTGATCCAAGCATTATAACTGAACATTCTTTTATTACTATTACAATTTTGATTTTCAATTACAAACCATAAGTGCCCAATTCATTAAGCACTCTGAAGCATAATTAAGAATTGGAAATCAGAAACATGTATCCTTTATAATATATATGTAGTTCTTGAACACCAATGTGTATCATGTAAATTAGGTAATGCAGCCAGCAGCAGCACTTCAAGAGGGACAAATGGCGTCCTTAAGTGCCAAAAGGACTTTGAGCTTATCTTCAGTTACGATCACCCTTTCTGCATAGGCCAAAGAAACCAAATCAAGATTATCAAATGGCTTAAACAGTAAAGGATGTTGCTCATCGACTAGCTCTTCTGGTGCTTCCACCATCCCTTTCTTGTAGGCGAACAACAAAATCGAGTATCTTGGCTCTTCTGATGCCATCATGACTCGATGAAGAATGGAATGTATCCTGCCATTGCTCCATGCCTGTGGAAAGAAATATTTGATCATAATCGTTCTTATCTTGGAAAGGATTACTAATTAAAGATTAACTTTTTATGCGCTGGCAGTGTAGTTAATTTTTAAACATAGATCAACGCACATCACTTGTTACATGATTACGAGTTGTGGGCTCTCAAAAGACGTTATTTCTATGCATGCCATTGCAAAATATTTGTGGCACAATTGCATGTAACAAGTAGATGAGAACCAAAGGATAAATGTCATAAAGTTAAACTTAGATCATCCAGCGAGAATTTTACCGTAATTCAACTGGGCAATTCAAGGTAAGGATAGAATATATGATGGAATTCCGTAATCTCCACTGTTAATTCTCCGATTTCCATGGAGTACTTTTCTTCATTTGAGAGTAGGTGGTGTTGCATAAGCACTATGTAATTAGACTCTTGTAATCTTCAATTGGCTAATATTCCTCCCATTATTTGGTTTTGCATTGTGTGAAAGTCAGGGAAGCAGCAAGAGACCATTTCACTACTTTTGGAGCTTCAAAACTCAAGACTCAATATTTTATACTTGTCATATTTGATTTTTTGAACCACTGAATTCCCTCCAAATTTCAGATCTCGAGATTATATTTACCGTCTATTTTTAGTCACTCAGACATTTTCAAAAGAGTAACATTTTTCATATAGACAGTGTAAGGAATGTCATTCAGCATATAAGGATCCTGTTAGCGAGCGAAATTGGGCAGTTGCGCCACATTTATAGAGAGGCCAATGCGGTTGCTGATGCTCTGGCGAGCCTCTCAGGTGGGGGTCAAGGAATGTTCGACTCCTTCTCTAAATTGCCTCAACATATTCAGGCATAGTATTGGTTAACTTGGACAATACCATCTATGTAGGAATTTAACGTGTGCATGTAAGGGAGTAGTACTCCCAATTTTCAGCTTTCCTCAGTTAAAAAAAAAAATGTCAAAGGAATTATCTACTTAGACACGCTCGTGTAAGGGAATAATACTCCTTATTTTTAGCTTTTTCAATCATTTTGGCTAATATATACATATATATATATGTATATATATATATATATATATATATATAGACAGTGTAAAGTTTACCTTACACAAGAAGAATAAATCCATGACTCTAACGCTCCTAGCAAAAAAGGATTAAAATTTAAATAGAGATTGCGTATCATGCTTCTAACAGGAAATTTAGGCTTAAATCGAGATTAAAAAATAATCATTATCAGTGAAAGGAAAATACTCATCAAGTAAATTTGCATTAGGAAAATACTCATCGATGAAAGAAATGGCCTACCATCAATGCATCACCAGCAACAACAGCGAAGGACGAGGGAGGAAAATCAACCGGAATCCAACTTCCATCATTGGACCTGACCTCCAAACCATTGACTTGATTTTGATGAAGTATGGTCATGAAACTCAAGTCTGTATGGGCAACCAAACCTACATATTTCTCTGTGAACTTGGTTGCTGCTCTGTACTTGTTGACTCTACACACATAAGCTATTGATTCTCTGAAAGATTCATAGTATTTCTCAACCCCATAGCTTTCAAATACCATTCTGATTATCACCTCATGCAGTTCTGCCACTTGCTTTGAGTAGGATTGCATGATTTCACTGATCATTAAGCTCAATAAACAAAATAGAAAAGAAGAAAAAAGGAACAATTACAATCATATTTACTTATACATGAGAAGGATCAAAACTGCAGGCCGGGTTATATCTATAACATTTCTGATAACCAATTTTTCTTAGTGTAATAAAAGAATTAGTTTCTGACAAGCTTTTGTTACTGTAGAAAAAGATTTATGTAAGGATTGCTCAATAGGCATTGGTCAAGAAGGGCCTAAGGTGTCTGTGTTTCCAAAAGTGAAATTCAATCCACCAAATTCATATATGCAAAGGGACGAGAAATGTAAATATGTGCATCTAAATGGTGAATTGAGCCGTAATTTAAATCACCTATTTGGTTTGGGGGTTGGAGGTTGGTTCTCTCCCTCCAACCCCCAAATGAAAAGTTATGAATGATTCTACTTTCATAAATTGTTTTATCTCGAGAAGCTAATGAATTAGTTGTGTAGTAAAATATAAACATGCTAAAATTAGTATATAGGAATATTTTTGTGGTATATTGGTAAATAGTGTAAATGTGGGCCTTATAGTCAAAATTGAATACCCATTAGCAAGAAAAGTCCGTCTTCTGTGGTGAACATCGGTCCCTATAGTTTTGACTTTTGCAGAAGCTTAGCCAAAATTTTTTTTTTATCCCATTGAGATTGCTATTTTTAGGAGTTTTGTAATGTATATAAAATAAAAAAATAATTGAGAAATGTATTTATAAAAAATCATGATCCAAACAAGGTTCTTAGAATAACGATTTTTTCTTCAAAGTTGATTAAAAAAAAACTCGGCTATGAACAGGAAAGGCTTAAGAAAAGGCCTCAAATGTGTTATACAAAAGCAAATCAAAAAGCTGGGATTTCCCCATATCACCAGCCGTTTTTGGAGCAGCAAGTTCCGTTCTGGTTCAATTTTTAAGGAGTTGGTTAGGGGTGGCAATAGGGTAAAAAACGGATTGACGGGTCGGGTCAAAACTTAGATATAACAGGAGACCCACTGATTTGAACACAACTTGCCAACCCGCGGTGGGTCAACATGTCTGACCTGAATACAAAATTTTCAGATTGGCGAGTCCGCCAAATGATCCGAAATATAATTCCAATTTACTAATCTATTGCTATAATTTCTAACAAAACTAATTCCACACAAGACTACTTACATAATCAAATAATAAAGACCATAATAAAACAATCCCAAGTTAGATCTAAAGTAAATTAAGACACCTTAAGAGTAGAAAATAATGTAACACTTCATCTATCCAAAAATAATAACTCCAACTTCACACAAGTCAAACAAATTAAATTAGAACAATCTAAACAAAAGGCGGCTAGCAAAATACAAGTTTAAAATCAATTCTTACAATCCACATGAAACAGATACAAAAACCTATTTAGATAAATTTTTTTATATATTTATTAACTTATTTTATTTCCTAAACGGGATAATGGGTCAACCCATTTCTGACCTGAGTTTGACTTGTTTTCTTTTTAGGTTCATCGGGCCACTTCTAGAGTATTTGGGATCCTCGGTGACATGTTTTCTATGCCAATCCAATGCCACCAATGGTGTTGCGCCAAGTGTCTTGTTATTATTTAAACTTGTGTTAAACCAAGCCAAATTGAATTATTAGAAAATTAAAGTTTAAATAATAACAAGACACTTGGCGCAACACTATTGGTGGCATTGGGTTGGCATAGAAAACATGTCACCGAGGATCCCAAGTGCCTCTAGAGTCGGTTGATATATATATATAAACAGTACATATAAGTAAAATAACTAGATCATGATCAAGGACAAATGCTAACCTGACATAATCCTTCCTTCCGGAGGAGCAAAAGAGATTAATGAAGCCATCAAAGGCTTCCTCACTAGTTGGATCTTCAATAGAAGTAGTTTCAAACGAGGGAAATTCATCAGCAGCTTTCCCCAAATAACCCGAATAAGGTTTATCTGAAGTGAACTGACATTTTTTCTCCATGGGGAGACCATAGAACTCCTTTACTGCTTGGTAAAAACCATTCTTGACTTCTGAAGAAATTTTGTCATGAGTTACAAGAAAAATCCCATGATTCTCAAGTGCACACTTCACTTGCTTGCTTGTGGAGATCCAAATGCTGGTCCCAGGTTTCAAGTTTTCACTGCTAAAATCTATGAGAGGCGGATTTGATGGAGCTAATTGGGAGTCCATGACTATGTTGTTGAGCCCTGGAATAAAAAAAACTCGGTTGTAACAGATTTAAAGCTACAAAGAAGCTCAAGATTGGTGGATAGGTTCTTCAACGTACAAGAATGGGAAGGAAGATGCCGATCTTAAAATGATCAGGAGCAGGTCAACATTTAGCCAGTCCGCTTTTGCTGCCAAACAGAACAAGCCAAGAGAAAAATAAGTAAATTGTTCGAGTGTGGCTAAAAAATTCTTTCTCAGTATACAAGTGACAAGTCACACTATCATATGGAGTATTAACTAGTAGTAAATAATTTCATTTATTAAAAAAGTTAAAATAGATATTCTTGTCTAACGAGTCATTTGCATTTACAGTAATATTCAAATTTATGAAGTTGTTGAAGCATCAACATCATAATTGTTAGGGTAAATTATCAATAATGTCATGAGATTTTGCATATTAATACATGACGTCTCTACCGTTTCAAAATATTTACACAATTCCTCTCTTATTTAAAGCAAAATGAACCAATGATGAAAAGTACTTCCGGTTATGGCAATTATCCAAATGCACTCCAAAAATATATTTGGATTCGCTGACTTCTTCAAATTAAAACTCATTTGACGCTTAGTTTTATTCATTTTTGCTTTTGCATTTTCAAACCCTTTTTTGAAGTCAAATGTGTTATTCTAGTTTCTTTGAGCCTAAATGTTTCCAAGCATCAAGACTAACATATTTATTTCTCTTCACCCCGCCAAAAATAATTTTTGACTTTAAAATTTTCCCTTTTTTCAACTAGTTCAAGTCATACCCTTTTCAATTTAAATTTTTATATCACTTTTTTTCATGAGCTATTCAAGGATAATTTAGCAATAAAAATTGCTTTCAGCATTTTATATAGATACTTCGATTTACTAACTTTTTAAAATTTAAACTCGAAATTGGGGAGACAGTATAATATTATAAACTTCAGGGCTAGCAAAACCTCAAATGTTGAAATGATCCCCTTTTAAAATTACATTTGCCTTCTTCAAATTTCACATCATGTGACTTAGTCTATAACCTTTCCAACAACATTGATTTCTCTTAAACTTACAAGTTGGACCATTACTCTTTGTGTGTGTGTGTGTGTGTGTGTGTGTTAGTAAATTATTGTACATAAGCATGGACGGATAAAATTGTACCTTAAACAGTCTTCTTCCCAGAGGACAAAAGAGATTTGTGAAACCTTCTGCAGCTTGTATACTAGTTGCATCTCCAATGGCTGTAAGTTCAAGAATAGGAAGTTGATCATCACGACTGGCTTTTCTTCTCTTTGGGGAGCTCATAAAACTCCTTTATTGCTAGGCAAAAATCATCCTTGACAGCTGAAGAAATTTTGTCATAAATTGCCAGAAAAAACCCATGATTGTCAAGTGCATTCTTCACTTGCTTGCTTGTAGATAGCCAAATATTTGTGCCAAAAAAATTTTTTTTGCCAGGATTTAAGTTTTCACTGCTAAGACCTACGTGAGGAAAAGATTTGATGGAGTTTGGGAGTCGATAACTTTGGCCTTGAGCCTTGCATCTCAGTTGTAGCAGATTGAAGGCTACAAGGAACCTCAAAGTTATTGAAGTGTTGATAAAGTATATACTTGTTAAATAGATTAATTTTTCCAATTAAAAAAGTTGAATTAGTTATGTTGTCACCAACTGAATAAAATGCTGCAGGACATTTTGAACTATGTTCGTATGCTCCCATCAAATTAAAACTGCATTTTCCCCAAAAAGAAAAGGAAGAGATTGAAATGATCCCCATTCCACACAACTAGACAACAGTACGTACTAACAGAAAAACTAATTTGATCCAAACCATTAGAACTGAACAATCTTTTACTACTATTACAATTTTGATCCTCAATTAAAAAACACTTTAAGATGGACAAATGGTTTCCTTAATTGCCACACAGGACTATGAGTTTATCTTCAATTACGTTCCGTTCAACCTTTTTGTGAAGACCACAGAAGCCAATTCAAAATGATCAAATGGCTTAAACAATAAAGGATGTTGCTCATCAACTAGCTGTTTTGGTGCTTCCACTATCCCTTTGCTGTAGGAAAACTGTTGGATCCTTAATTTGACGTTGGATTTATATGTGAATAATTATGTTGCAGACAGTCAAATAAGTTTAAATCCAATTAAAGTGATCAATTATAGTTTAGCTTTATTGTATCTAATAGGATGTGGGACTTTAATGTATAGAAACTTAAGGATAATTTCTATTTTTATGATGGGATGAAATAAGAGTTCTAAAAAAAAATATTAAGAAAGTTATCTATAAATAGAGTTATGATCACCGAATCATACGTATTTTTATTTTCATATTTTTTTTAGTATCACAAAATACCTCTTCTCATCATCAGAAAATATACCAGATCGTCATCCCAAGAGCTCTCTCAAGGGATTAGCGGATAAGTGTTGACCTGGAAGGCCATCTCAAAATCTCGAAGAATTCAAGTACCAGTTAGTCAACATGAATCCAGGTATGCTTCTGCAATTTTACTGTTAATTTATTTCTTAATAATCACTATAAAGATTTTGGATTCAATAGGTGATGGTTTTCACCAAAAGTCAATATACCACTAACAAAAACAATCCGATCCACTGCCTTGTCTCTTCTGAGGACATTATTGTTAGTTTGTTACTTGATGAACACTACAACTTGTCCGGCCATTGCTCCGTGCCTGTGGAAAGAATTATGACATTATCTTTCTTATCTTAGAAAGAGTATAACATTCATCTACACCCATAAACTCTGGTCTCTGGCTAGTACCTTCAAACGGAGAAAGAGCACTGACAGTCCCAAATCAAGTTTGATGTCGTCTACGGCTCAATCTTCTCATAAAAGGTTATTAGGCAGCAAGGTGAAATATCTTGAAAATTTTTCCCTCTCTGATGATGTTGATATGGAGGATGTTCCTCTTTCCAAGAAATCTAATACAGCTGGTTCAACCACATCACATGGTATATCAATGGCGGAGGCTGGTCACCAGCCCCGCCAAGAATCATGAGTCTTTTAAGCTGGAACTATCGAGGGTTGAAAAACCTCCACACAGTTCATGAACTCGATCCAGAGTTTTATCCGGAGGGAAAGACTTTCAATTATTTTTTTGATAGAAACTAAGTGTTCTAGTAGATTTGTGGAGAAATTGAAGTAGCAAATTGGGTGGTTTGATATTGGTGTGGATGCACAGGGCACTTCTGGTGGGTTAGCTCTCCTGTGGAAAAAAGATCTTGACATATCATTGAACTGCTTTGCAAGTAATTTTATTGATGCCAATGTTCATATGCCAAATTACACATGGCATTTCACTGGCTTCTATGGACATCCTTGATGTTTCAAAGTGAAAATATTCCTGGGATTCTCTCCGAAAACTAAGCACACAATCTCGGCTCCCCTGGCTTTGTATTGGTGATTATAATGTAGTCCTTAGCCAAATCGAATTTCAAGGTTTTGGTCCACGAAATAACAGGCAAATCATGAATTTTCGTCGGGCCTTGATGGATAGTAATCTGCATGATGTGGGCTATGAAGGTTTCACTTATACATGGTGCCATAGTCGGACATATCCAAATACGATTAGAGCGAGACTTGATCGCGCTTGTGCAACTCAAGATTTTGTGGACTTATTCCCTGATTCAAAACTCAAGCATGTGCATTCTAAATTCTCTGATCATTTGCCTCTAGTTTTTAGCTTTGAGAATTTCATTAAATCTTCAAAGACTACAAATGAGACGAAGAAATTTAAACGTTTTATGTTCGAAGTCATGTGGATAAAGGCAGATAATTGTGAAAATGTAATTCGACAATCTTGGGAAAGTACATCTGCGGATAATGCTTGTGTTAATTTGTTAAAGAAAACTGATGAATGTCGAATGGGTCTTTTACAATGGAGCAAATCAAGATTTGGTAATGTTTGTTCTGCAGTAGACGACCTAAGGAAAAAGATTGCTAAGCTGCAGCAAAGGACTCTCTCTGATGCTGTTAAATCTCAAATTGGGACTTTAACAAATCAATTAGAGGATATTTTGGATCGGGAAAATACTATGTGGAAGCAAAGGAGTAAAACTCACTGGTATCGAGAGGGGGATCGGAATACAGCTTTCTTCCATGCACAGGCATCCAAGCGACAAAACAAAATCAAATAAATGGCCTTTTCAATGATGCGGGGCAGTGGTGCAACTCTTATGATGATCTGGAGAACATTATCTTAGATCATTTTGGATCCATTTTTTCCAGTTCAAAGCCATCTGAGATAATTGATGCGGTTTTGCAAAGAGTGCAACCTAAGGTATCTAAACGAATGAATGATTCACTGATGCGAACTTACTCAGCTTTTGAGGTAACACAAGCTTTAAATCAAATGCATCATTTTAAATCTCCCGGTCTTGATGGCATGTCCCCAATACTTTATCAGAAATTTTGGCATGTTGTTAGTCAGGATGTAGTGAAACGTGTTCTTGAATTCCTGAACAATGGGCATTTTGATGATCGATTGAATTTCACTTACATTTTGCTTATCCTAAAATGCCAATGTCCATCCAATATAACTCAATTTCCTCCAATTAGTTTATGTAATGTAGTTTATAGATTAGCTTCTAAGGTTATAGTTAATAGATTAAAGAAAGTTCTTTCAATAATTCTCTCGCCCTTTCAGTCTATTTTTATTCCTGGTCGTCTTGTTACAGATAATATCTTGATCGCTTACGAAGTTAACCACTCTCTTAAATCAAAGTCTACAGGCAAAAAGGGATCCATGTCCATTAAATTGGACATGAGCAAAGCGCTTGATAGGGTTGAGTGGTCTTTTCTTAAAGGAATGTTGTTGGCTTTAGGTTTTCATCCATCTTTTGTTGATCTTATTTCCAGTTGTTTCTCTACTATTTCATATTCTTTTCAGCTGAATGGTGTTCAATTTGGTTATCTACGACCATAGTGGGGCATTAGACAAGGCGATCCAATTTCTCCGTATTTATTTCTCATATGTGCAGAGGATTTTTTCCTATCTATTACAAGAAGCAGAGGCTTGTGGTACATTGTCAGGAGTTTGAATAGGTCAGAGTGGCCCCAAGCTTTCTCATTTATTATTTGCATACGATACTTTGTTA